AACTGAAGCCACCATCATTTCATTTTGCCTGTTTGCATCCCCCCCACAGGGATCTGAAAGTTGGGAGTTGGGTGGGAAAATCTGGATTTGAACTTTGCAGTTTTGGACTCTCATTACTTGCCCCAGTTCCCGAAAATGCTCAAGTCCATCTCTATTGAGGTAGCACTTCCATTTTAGCAGGTTTGAAAGTGAACGTTTAAAATGAAACCTGTGTTCAACAGCAGTACTTTCCTGAATCTGGGACCATTATCTAAAGAGACAAAAACATTTATTTCTATGCTTACTATGGGCTATGAAACTGGACAGAAATAATTGCCTCTTATTAAATACAACAAACTGGAGTGTTCAATTAAAAGAAAACCAGACCAAAAATACCCTTGGGGCCTCAAAAAATCACACTGAAAGGCAGATTTAAATGTTTTCAGCCAATATATTTCTGGTTGTAATGAAAATACTTTGAGCTGCTATGAAAGGCTGTAGAGAACTAAATTCATTTTCCATACAGCAGAGAAGAATCATTGAGGATATTATTTAGGTTTACAAAATATTTAATGGGGTGGAGAATGTGGAACCAGATAAGAAAGGTTAAGCTGAAGGACATTTTAACAATGTTTGGTTTTCGGTCAGCTGTGGAATACATACAGGTTAATGAGATGATTAAATATAAACTTCCTCTGTGCCACAGCAAGCTCTCTAAGGTTGAAAAGAAAAATAGACTTGGATACAGCTATTAACTCTAGCTAAGAATTTCCAAAGAAATTTGCAATTTGGGGCATATAGAGCTTCTTGACAATCAGGCCTCTTTTGCAGGTCATACAAAATCATTAGTCTCTTAGCAAAGTCTTGGTTTCTGCCTTCAGGATGCCTTCACTGCTTTCTAGGCCCTATGGGCCTGAGCTGTGTTGGATGCTATGATGTATTTACTCATTACATTTCAAGCTTCATCCTCACTGTATTTTCCCTTCTACCCCTCACCTTCAGTCATGAGCTGAACACACGTACTTGCCCAGCAGGATTCGCCAGTTCTCAGTGATGCTTCAGATTTTGCCCTCTGAACTCGAATGCTCTCTACTACTTACTTATATTATGGCTTTGGGATTTCCATGCAATACAATGTCCGTACAGTATCCCCAACTTTACAATATACAGGGCCCTGGCAGATGTTACCCTTAAGGAATATTTAACATTTTCCTGACTCTTCTCTGCATGCCACAACAAGCATTTACTCTCTTCTGGCAGAATCTACACTTCTGGAGTGATTAACATCTTCCCAGCGCTTCTCAGGGTTGGGGCCTGCCCCCAGTGCCAAGCTCCTTGTGTTAGCTATTGCATGATTGGGATCTAATCCTTGATTCCAAAAACACACATCCTGCCATCCATGTGCCATTAAATGAACATCTGCAAGAAACAGAATGAAACAAATAGCCATGCTTTCAAGGCTGTCTTCAGCACTAAGACAGTACTCCAATGCTTCCTTGGAGTTACCACTGAAGCTGGTCAGGTGGGCTGCCAGGATGAAATAGCATGGCTCTACTGATTCATACAAGCTGGAGTGCATAAACCCTGATTGTGTCCAAATTTCACATCCTTCCTGAGGTTTGGCTATATTAGTAACTGAAAATAATACCAAGTTACACTGATGGAAGCGTTAGCCTATGCTTCCTGCATGAACTTGGTTGTCCATTGCATTTCTTTCCCAAATCTCCTATAATTTTGTACCTAAACAGAAGGTAACTGCTCCACCTTAATATACTTAGCAGGAGCTAAGAGGATCAGCTTGTCAGCACAACTCCAGCATCGATTATAGATTATAGCTTTTGAAGGAATCTTAAGGTTTCATCGAGACCAACCTTCTTAGCAGTGATGCAAAGACAAAATAGGGAGGGATGGTGGATATCAGTATATACACCAGTTCTTACAATGTGACATGGAAATAACCAACTTTTGTGTTATACTGGGCTGCTTGATATACAGCCCAATATAGTAGTAGCCAGGTCACGGATGGTTGCAACCTGCCTAATTTGCCACAGGTTGATGAGTGAAGGACAAGCCACCCAGCTGTTTTCACTCATCAGGAGCACTCAGCTGTCTGCTGTAGCTGCATATCCTCCCAGTTAGTTTTGCAAACCCTCAATCTCTGCTAGGGCTGAAGAACCTAATCCAATAAATTATCTGTGTTCTACTGCATACATGACTTCAGAGTTAGAGACACAATAGTTTATGATCAAACTGACCACATCTATAGCACACGCATTCTGTGTTGGCTGCCACAGTTCAGCGAGACATAGGCACAATGAAAGGGGTCCATGGAAAATATTATAGACATGATTAAAGCAGTGGAAGGAGCCTGGAATAATTGCGACTTGCAGAGCTATTTTTCCAAGAGAGAAGAAACCGTACTATAGAAAAAGTCCTATGGTAGCAATATGGACCAGATGAGTTTTTATCCCATCTCTAACTCAGATTCTGTGGTCACAGAGGAAGAATTATTTATAGAAGTGGATAGAAACATGGGATAAAACTGAAAAATGGGGCCAGATGTCAGAAAACATTTTCTAACACTAAGGTCAATTGGGCCATAAAATAGTCTTGCAAGGGAAATGTAAATATCCCTATCTCTGCAGCTATTCAGCTTAAACAGCACTTGAAAATACACATTAGGGAACAATCCAACATTGGCAGCCATTGAACTAGATGACTGGAAAAGTGTTTTTCATCTCCAAAACTTATAGCGTTTATAATCTTCAGGATAGCTGTTTGTACCACATACCCCACGGAGAGTCATCACAGACTAAAGTTCTTTCTGAACCCTTAATTTGGCCTGCTTGTGCATATGCATTATGATACAGTCTTTAATTACACGATCACTGCATACCGTATTTTCCCTGGGATTCATATCTCATTCAGTTTTCGGTATGGATGGGGTATTGTTCAGTGTGGGACCCTATGCCTCATTTACTGTATACTATTCAAACAGCCTCTGAAGACAAAATTATCTACTTTATCGTGGGTTTTTCTTAGGTTGCTTTTGAAATAATTCATTGCTGGGAAGCACTTATATATTATAGTCATCTCAGACCCCTGTGAAATGAAGGCGTGGTAACTCCATTCTACAGATTGGGAGGTGAGATGTAGAGAGATTCAGGTTTAAAAAAAAAAAAGGCTAATATTTGATGTCCACTGTCAGATGCCAACAACCTGATTTCTCAACATTTTATATGGTCAAAGCATGGCACTCCAATGATTGCAATCACAGCTACAAGGCCTCAGCATTTAAGCTGATTGGTCTCAGGGTCTCACGCTGGGCAACCAGAAACATCAATCGTACCTAGTGACCACCTGCAAAAACATTGGTGTAAGTAATATTTCCAGCATCCATCCTTTCCTCACACCCATTCCCCAACTCTTTATTTCCCAGTTTCCAGACATAATTGCTGTGTCCAGTTCCCTTGTTCCTCCTTTCTGGCTTCTTGATTGCACTGGTTGGTGACTCCTGAGAATGGGCTCCCAATCCCCTTACCCTTGCCCTCAATGGCACCTACTTCCAACTTCCCAGTCCGAGTCTTTGCTTTCCCCTCAACTCTCATTCCTGTCTCTTATTTCAACGATGCCCCTGTAGCCTCTTCCACTATCTCCAGCTCTCAGTTCTAGGCTTTTCAAAAATGACTCCTGGCAGTGTCTCTTTTTCCCCAGTCTCACTAAGCTCCTTGCTCCCCATGCCCTATCACGTTGTGTCTTTTCTGTTTAAATGTCAGGCACATTCCTCCTCCATGAGGCCTGTGAGCCATCAGGGATCGCTGATAAAACAACAGAGGTAGGATTCCTGCCCTCAGCTTTGATGCCAGGCCCCACTCTTCCTGAGTAGCAGCAATGACAAGACACAGAAAAATTCAGCACAAAGAGTTTAAAATTTCATGCCATTACGACCCACAGAATAAATGGGAAAACAATGGGAAATGTTTGCCCACCTTAAGAATAGGTGGTGTTACCAGCACAAACATGGGAAAGGGTGGCTCTTTTTTTTTTTGCTGTTGAACTCAAGCCTTCTGCCATGAATTACTTTATCATGAGGCATAAATCCACTCTTAAACAAGATTAAACACAAATGTTCTTTAGCGGCATCTAAAATAATACAAATGTTTCTAGGACTGCAATAAACACACTTCATGATGCAAATAATTACACCCTGCGGCTTTTATGTAAAGATTAGGGGCCAGATTCAACTCAGCAACACCACCCTAAATCTAGAGTAACTACGCTAACTTAATTCCACTCTCCACTGGTATCAGAAATGATGGGGAATTACTATCTGCTAAATTTACACCAGGGTAGCTCTGATTAGAATCTGCCTATTTGTCTCATCTCGCTTCCGTAATGGCCTCTCAGTTAACGCTGGCAGAATTCCCTGGAAGCACCATAAGAAGAAGAAGAGAAAAGAAATGAAGGTGGATTTGTTTAAAAGTTCACGATAGTTAGGAGTAATGCAACTGGTTACCCCTTGGGTCCTAGGAGTCCATCTCAGAAAGTAATATGGTTGATATTTTAATTTTTTTTAATTTACTCAAATATTTATTTAGAGAGAGTAAAATGGTTGGTTTCGGAGAGGGTAAAAATGGTTTATTCAGAGAGCAAAATGGTCAAAATCAGTTGTTATTTTCCTAGAAAAGAGGGATTTTGCTCATATTCTGGATTCTATGTGCAATGTTAAATTTAACTGACTTCCTCATGCAACTAAAATAATCCTGTACTGGTTGGATGCTGTCAGATTATTCTGAGATCCTGCAGCAAGTTCAAAATAGATCCCTATATGTAACAACTTGCAAAATTATTTAGCTGATTGGGTTTTTTTTTTTAATCTAGCCATTAAACACCAAAATGTTCTCTCTGAGTTTTGTATGCACATTTATTGTTTCAGGAGGTGACAAACATATCACTGGTTTGATATTCTCATCTATCCTTTCTGCTGAATCTAAAAGAAAAAAAAAGCCCTCTGCTCTTACCGGGACTTGTGAGGGCTCCCAGAGCACCAGTTGTTGTGGAGAGAGGATTTGCATTGGTGGTGGTAGCTGAGGTTTGGGCGGCGGCTGCTGCGGCTGCTAAAGTTGCCAAATTCTGTAATTGTAAAGCGTTCATGCCTGTAGAGAGAACAAAACGAAGCTTCAGCAACAGGGTTCATTAAGAAACACCAGTCAATGATCCCGCCAACATACCTCACCTCTGTCTCAAAAGGTGGCTACTCTTGTGGTTAAGGATATCTCAGTTGAGTTCCTACCTCTGGTACAGATTGGCAGCATGACAAGACACTTAAGGTTGCTTAGAGATGTGAACCCCCTCCACCCGCAAACAGCACTTTATTTCGAGTTCAGTGCATCCCTACGGCAAGCGCAGCGCATGCCCTGAAGTTTGGGCAGGGCTTTTTAGTGCTTCTAATAGGTGATCGAGTCTATTAGACTCAAGCCACTCAGAAGAGAGGTGCCTATGCCTAGGTGGTAGGAATAGGACATAGGAAATGTTAAGCATGGGCATGTAGATTAAGGTCTGATTCAGGGCAGAGGTACCCGCCTGTACTGGGATGCCTATCTTGCCAAAACTGTGACGTATAACACTTCTCATTCAGCCCCGAATATGTGGTGGGGCTTTCCTCAGGTGAACTAAGTTAGGGCTGGCCATTTTTTTTTTGGTGCCTGATCTAACCTTCCCTAACATCTGTACAGATCAGCACTTAGATCGATAGATCAACCTAACCCTACGTAGGTTGACCTAACATAACATCTGTGTGTACCCTTAAGGTCTCTCTCAATTCCTATCACCTACAATATTTGTTTTTTTTACAAGACACAATAAAACTACTCTAATTATAAGGCACTAATAATCCAGGTAATTGGCTATAACTATTGTGTCATGTAATCACAGGTCATCATTGAGTTTACTTAGCTTTCTAACACAGCACTTATCATGTTCAAGTGCTTTACAATAATACCTTTGAAATAGTAAAACCTCTGTAGCTTAATTATACGGAAACTTCAAATTACCAAAGAATTAGTGAAGGGCAAACCCACCTGAAGAAAATCAGCTGACAAACATAGTTCAAGTCCTAAATTAAGTCTTCTTTTGAAATACAAAAGAATTTGGTGAACTTTCTAAAATAGCTTTTGTTGCATGAACCTCTAATTTAGTTTTAGATGCCAGAGGAGAACGAAATTCTAAAGTACTCCAAGGAAGCCACTCTCAGAGGTTTTTCCTAGCTGAGGAAAACCAGGGGATATTGGAAATTTCACATGAAAGCTTACTGGGGTCTAGATTGTAGCTGTGTTGGTCTAAGGACATCGGCAGACAAGGTTCTTTGGGTGAATCCGATATTTTTTATTAGACCAACTAAATAGTTGGAATTTTTTTTTTTTTAGCAAGCTTTCAGGTTTAAAAACCCTTCATCAGGCTGAGGAAGCCTCTGCAGTTGGTGTCTGCTCTTCCTGGATGAAATGAACAGTAAAGAAGCCTTCACATGAAAGCTTATTACTCCAAACTGGTTGATACGGAGCCCAACTTCAAGGGTTTTGTCTGCTACTAAACCATCAGGAGTTTCCACACTTGCATTTGTTTAGCAAGAATGAGACCATTATGGTGCTAAATTCTTGCTATGACAATGATAGCATTGGCAGAGATATAGAGATGCCTCAGAGGCAGCATATAATAAGGCTACCTGGAGAGCATGGCCAACGTTTTACAGGCTAAAGCAAACCCGTTCTCTCGCACCAGTTCAGCTGTGCTTGCTGATGCAGAGGGGAAGGTTGGTTATGATCCTGCCCTTCCCCATCCCCTAACGTTTCTAATGTTGCTTGCTGGTACTGGGGGCTTCGGAAACCTTCCACTCAGTACGCCCAAGGTTAATGATAGTCTGGCTCTTATGCACAGGCAGCAAAAGTGAAGAGGAAGGAGAGAGGAGTGCCTTGAATCTTGTTCATACACTCTGAATTCACTTAGGCCACCTCATAAAATGCATTTGATGATTCTGATTCAGATGTTGCAAATCTCCAGGGTTTTTCAATCAACAAATCACAAGTTTAGAAAGAGAAAAGGCCGGGGTTTATAGGGTCTGTTCTTTTGCAAATACACTGAACAATCCTTTCAAACGAATTCTGTTTTCATCCTGGATGGCTGTTTGGACCCTTGTCGTGCCCTTCATTAAAGCTCTCTCTCCGCTAGAAGTCAAACAATTTAACAACAAACACTGCAGGCCTTCACCAAGACCGCAGTTAGTCTCCATGTTGTGATTCAGCTGGTAGGAGATGCAGAAAAACAGTGTGCCCGCTTCGCAGAGGGCTGCCTTGATTGCTATTCCTCTCCTGGACCAGCTGCAGATCAGAAGGAGTTTGTCACCATCAAATGATATTTTTCTCTGTGATGATGTTTCCTTATATCACTTGCTTAAAAAGTGCATTGCTGGAGCTGGTAAACAGCAGTGCACAAAAGGCACTCGGCAGTGCTGGAAGGCTACCTTCAGCAGGGTGAAATTCAACAAAGTTCTGCAGGTGCACGCGAATTTCTCTGAAACTTAGTTTCATAGTTAGTAGGGTCGGAAGGGACCTGAGCAGATCATCAAGTCCAACCCCCTGTCATGGCAGGAAAGAGTAGTGGGGTCAAACAACCCCGGCAAGATGTTCATCCAGCCTCCTCTTAAAGACCCCCAGGGTAGGAGCCAGCACCACTTCTCTTGGAAGTTGCTTCCAGATCCTAGCTGCCCTGACAGTGAAGTAGCGCCTCCTGATAGCTAGCCTAAATCTACCCTCTGCCAGCTTGTAACCGTTATTCCTGGTCACTCCT